AAGGCTAAGCTTTAAGAGATAAGGAAAATCAGTGCTAACTAGGAGCTCTGGCCCATGATTTGCTATTATAAGAAGGCAATGTAAGTAGAAGTGACATTACCTGTGTCATAGTTATCACTAGGGTGAGATGTTTCATCCATTTCTTCACCATTTGGTTCATTTTCCATATTCAGATTTTTCAGCTGTACTAACTCCAGAAATCTCAGAGCTGTTTCTGCCAACAACGCTATATTTTCTGCAAAGGAAAACATTTTGGTTAAGAATTGTTCTACTTTGTCAATCTACATCAGTCTGTTGATCCTGCTGATGAGAGATTATAACCACTGACAATACCAGTCACAATGGGCAAATGGGACCGAAGTTATGCAACATGCTCTGGTCAGCTCACTTCTGTTGATCCCGACCCCAGCGAAGCCACTAAGTACATCAAATCATATGGTACTTTTGTCATGTAAACAGGTGGAAAAATTGTAAGGATATCAAGTGTAACAAGGACTAATTTCAATCTTCTAGAACTAGCCCTAAATGCCACCTAATGACTAAATAACCTGATAGAACTCAAAGGCCAATAAACCTGAATTAACAGGCCCACATGGTAGACTGCAACAAAACAACAATGACAAATCACCACACCAAGATATGTATCCCAGGGAATAACAACAGGATTACCCTTAAGGGCTGGATACCACTTTTAGAACATTTGTCCCTCTATCTATCCACACGATCTGGCACCATTCTGCACCATTTGGAAGCTGCTGAAGCAACTCAGGCTATATTATATAGGTCAGGCCACTGCTGGCACAGGAATAATCCTGTTGAGGCAAAGTCCCACTTAAGCAGCCGTTCTGAGTGACATCCCAGACGACAACAGCATGCCAGTGGAGCCTATCCACAGCCCAGATCAAATCCTATAAGTCACCAGTCTGACCACTCCCAAAAAACGTGCTATAGTAACACAAGTTAACTCATTAAGACTACCTTTAAATATATATATATATATATATATATTTATTTGAAGCAGGTAAGGGAGTGCTGTTTGAAGGCTTTATAGTTTTGCAATCCAGCATCTGACTTGCACAAAACAGGATTAACTGCTACACTACACTGACAAATCCCCCATGCAGAGGCAAGGCTTAAAGAACTTGGGTCACCTCCCAGAACTACATAAAACACCTCAGTAAAGGCTTTTTTTGCTAAGGTATCTGTCTACCCTAGAACTTTTTCCAAGTGCAAGAACATCAGGAAAGAATAGCTTTCAGTATTATTTTCTAATGTCAAATCAAGCATAGCAGGTACTGGGAGGAAAAAAAAAACAAACATGTATTTGGAAAGCACATTAAACAGAAGTATATCAACTGAAACTGTGCTTTCTCTTAAAAAAAAAAAAAAAAAAGGCCCATCTCATTGCAATGAACAATCTCATTACTTAATTTATTGTATCTCTGTTAAGACTGACAAATAAGTGCAAGACTACTGTTGAAGACAGTTCACAAAGAGAATGTAGGAACAAACATCTGGAAGATACTACCAGAGTTACAGTCTCCCCTATGACAACTGACTTTAGACACATCAGGGAAAAAAAAGTCATAGTAACTACAGAAAGCAAGCAGGGAGACAAATGTTCTTGCTGTCCAGGTTTCACACAGAACAGAGAATTTAAGACAAAATTCCCACAGAACATCCTGAAATGGACCATGTTAAATGCTAAATACTTTCCTCTCAAAACATTCAAACAATTAACAGTTAAGCTAAACCCAGAGCAGAACAGTTCTTACTCTAACGCTGCAGCCTGAGCCACTGTTCTGAGGCCTTAACAGCTCAGCGTGGCCCACAATATGTTGTTTTTCCTTCAACTTATCACTTATTTAAAGTACATAACAGAAATTTGAAAATTCTTTAAAAGGTGCCTATGTTCCCAGGAAATTCAGTAGCTGCTGTCCTATAACTGGTCCCATAAAAGAAGCATCAGGTTTCAAGCTGATGACCACCCCAGCCTTTCAGTATTTTCACACTG